GGACTTTGAGTGTTTTGCAACTGCTGTACCTCATCTCGTGTCCAAGCTGATTACACCTGAGGGAGACTCGGATGCACCAAACATCCCGACCCCGCGCTCTTACGCAGAGGCGAGTACGGATCCTTACTCCTCTCAGTGGCAGACAGCCATGGACGCAAAGATGGCATCCTGGATGTCCACATGCACTTACGTCGACGCAGTTCCCCCTCCTTGGGTGAACATAGTCTATGGCATGTGGATTTTCATGGTGAAGCGGCCGTCGGGTTCTCCGCCTGCCTTCAAGGCTCATTACGTTGCACGAGGCTTTAGTGAGTGATAAGGAGTTGACTTCTACTGCTGACTCGTCGCTGTTTCTACGCACCGACACTTTGCTGCAGCCGTTCTACGCCCTCGTGTACGTCGACGACTTGGTCTTTGCCACTGCTGACACTGAGGCACTGGCCCTTGTGAAGTCGGAGCTGCAGAAGAGACACACTTGCACTGACCTGGGTGAGCTGCGCAGATCACCCGAGACAGAGCACGGCGCACCATCACCCTGACTCAGTCACACATGGTGCACTAGGTCCTTCAACGCTTCGGCTTCCGGTACTCCTCGCCACAGTCCACTCCTCTGCCTTCCATTCACTCGCTCTCAGCTCCACCATCGGACGAGTCCGTAGAGCAGAGTGGTGTCAGAACATTATAGCTTATACATTTGTGTAGGCTGTAGTGGGGTAGCCCATAAGGGGTACAACCCAATTAGGGTTAGTACTTCTACCCAACTGTTTGCTAGTTCATTCATTCTCATTCTTACATTTAACAAGTGGTCCGTACCCAGAGCTTGTGGGTTGCCTCATGTACCTGATGACGTGCACACGACCTGACCTCGCGTACCCTCTCAGTCTTCTGGCTCGCTACGTGGCTCCCGGTAGGCACCGAAAGGTGCTCTGAGATGCTGCGAAGAGGGTACTGTGTTACTTGTGTAGTACATCGGGCATGGGGCTCGTGCTTGGAGGACGGTGTCAGAATGTATTTGCTGTCTAGCCTGCAGTGGGGTACTCTGTAGTGAGTACAACCCAATTTAGGGTTTGCTATTTGTATCCCAACTTTCTATAGTGAAACCCCTTCATTCTCCTTCTCGACTTTCCTCACCCAAACCTCTCTCGACACTCATGCCTAGAACCCAAGCTATGGTTCCTAAGTTCAACTACTATTCTAACATGCTATCAGAGTAGGTCGTTCCTAAGACCTAACATTCATGGGCCCACCACCTACTGCCCTGCTAGCCTAGGCCCCGGCCCGTCGCCCCTAGCCCCGCGCCCGGCCCTGTTCCTAGCCCCGCGCCCGGCCAGTACCTAGCCCGCGATCGGCCCGTACCTAGCCCGCGTCCGGCCCGTACCTAGCCCGCGACCAGCCCGTACCTAGCCCGCGCCCGGCCCCATCTCCCGCCCGCGCCCGTACCTAGCCCACGATCGGCCCGTACCTATCCCGCGATAGGCCTGTTCCTAGCCCCGCGCCCGGCCCGTACCTAGCCCGCGACCGGCCCGTACCTAGTCCGCGACCGGCCCGTACCTAGCCCGCGCCCGGCCCCGTCTCACGCCCGCGCCCGGCCCGTACCTTGCCCGCGATTGGCCCGTACCTAGCCTGCGACCCGCCCGTACCTAGCCCAGCGCCCGGCCCCGTCTCTCGCCCGCGCCCGGCCCGTACCTAGCCCGCGCCCGGCCCGGTCCCTAGCCCAGCGCCCGGCCCTGTACCTAGCCCGCGCCCGGCCCCGTCCCTAGCCCAGCGCCCGGCCCCGTCCCTCGCCCAGTGCCCGGCTCCGTACCTAGCCCGCGCCCGGCCCGGTCCCTAGCCATGGCCCCTCGCGACCTGCCGCCCCTAACCGCGGCCCCGTCGCCTCTAGCCTCGGCCCCTCGCGACCTGTCGCCCCTAGCCGTGGCCCCGGTGCCCCGTCGCATCATGGAGGGTAAGGGGGTGGCAATAGGGGTGACGGCTTCCTGCCCGCGTGCCCTGCAGTCGCACGCGCAGCTCCGCCCCCGCCCCCCTCCCCCCCCTCCATGGGGACGGGGGGAAGAGGGTGTGAGGGGGTGGCGGATGTGCCTCAGCAGCAGCAGCTGCCGCCACGCCTCCTCCTCTCTCTCTCCCTGCCGCACCTTGTGTTGGGAGAGGGGGGGGAGCTTGGAGGTTCAGGGGGAGGCAGGAGGGGATCTGCAGCACCAGCCCCCCCCCCCCCCCCCCACCCTTCTCCTACCTCCCCCTGCTGCGGGTGCAGCAGTAGGGGGGGAAGGGATCTGCCATCCCCCTGCTGCGGATGCGGCAGTGGGGGGAGGGGACCTGCAGCACCAGCCCCCCCCACCCCCCCCCCCCCCTTTTCTCCTCCATCCCCCCTGCTGCAGGTGCAGCAGTGGGGGGAGGGTATGGGGGTGGCGGGTGTATGAACCGTCCCCTCCTCCTCCTTCGTCTCCCACTGCTGCAGCTGCCGCTGAGGGGGGTGGGTGTGTGGGAGCCGAGGGAGTGGTGCTAGGGGGGTGACGTGGGAGTGGAGCTAGGGGTGCAGCAAGGGGTGTGTGAAAGGGGGGTGGGACAGTTGGGGGAGGTTGAGCGGAGGCTGCCGTCTTGTCGTCCGCAGCACCTGTAGTCCGGGGCTCTGCTGCTGGTAGCTCAGAGAGCCTGCTGCGCCTGTCGCCCGTGGGTCCGTTGCTCCTGCCGCTCAGAGTTAGCCGCAGAGCCAGTTACTCCTGTAGTCCGGGGCCCTTGCTCCGGTAGCCACCGTGCGCGCCGCTCCTGTTGCCCGTGTGTCTGCAACATCAGCCGTCGCCTCCTATCTCCTCTCCTCTCACAGTCTAGCCTCCTCCTCCTCACTTGCCCTTTGTGGATGCCTCTAGCTTTGCTTGTACTGGTGAACCTGCTCTATGACTGCTTGCTCTGCTGATTATACCCCACTTTGACTATGGGGGTGTGTCAGAATGTATTTGCTGTCTAGCGTGCAGTGGGGTACTCTGTAGTGAGTACAACCCAATTTCCCAACTTTCTATAGTGAAACCCCTTCATTCTCCTTCTCGACTTTCCTCACCCAAAACTCTCTCGACACTCATGCCTAGAACCCAAGCTATGGTTCCTAAGTTCAACTACTATTCTAACAGACGGGGTCCAGTTGTCCTCACTGGACACGCAGACGCTTCTTGGGTTGACGACTTGGCTACGCAACGGTCGTCACAGGGTTACACTTTCAGCCTTGGCTCCAATTCTGTTTCTTGGCGGTCTACCCGCCCGTCTTCTGTTCTCAGTTCCAGTTGTGAGGCTGAGATCTACGCAGGGGCCATGGCTGCACAGGAGTTACGCTGGCTCACCTGCCTGCTGCTGACCGACTTGGGAGAGCGGCCTCGTTTTTCTCCAGTTGTATTCGTAGACAACAAGGCCATGACTGCCTTGTGTAAGGAGCACAGACTGGAGCACAGAACGAAGCACATCGCTCTGCGTTACTTCCTTGCTCGAGAGTTGCAACAGCGTGGTCAGCTTCGTCTTGCTTTCGTGGCCACTAGGGCCAACACTGCTGATATATTCACCAAGACACTTCAGTCTGGTGATCATCAGCGTTTCTGTACTGTTTTAGGCGTTGTGCATTCCTTGCCTCACTTGCTCACTGCGTGACTTTGCTTGTACTGTGATCTATGTATTTACTTACATGCTTACTCTTGCCAGGCTTTGATCACTGTACTGTTTGTTCTCTTTTATACAACTCTGTATGTGAACTGGCCTTGTGGCCATTTGCTTGTGCTCGGAATGTGTGGTGACTTCGTGATCCAACCTGAGCTTGCTTTGTTTTTTCTTGATTGGTCTTGTGACCACTTGTTCTCCCCCACTTTGCCTATGGAGGTGTGTCACAATGTGATAGTGTTTACCTTGTATAGGCTTTAGTAGGGTAGCCCATACGGGGTACAACCCAATAAGGGTTAGTACTTGTACCGACTTTCTGCTCAATGCAATTCATTCTCGTTCATTCTTCTGACACTATGTTGTGTATATTTGGCAGCAACACAATTTCCGCAACAAAAAAGAAATGAGGTACGCTAGTGTTGACACGTCTTGACATCGTAACTCTGATTTTTTATATCACAGATGAGACCATATGCTTTGGATAAGCTTGATACGAATCATAACCTGCTTAGAAGCTGGATTAGGGGAAGTCCGACTACCTAAGTCACCATAGCATGAAAAGCTGAAGTATCAACAAGCCATACCGTCAATGTATAATTTATGTAGATATTTTCTTCAAGTGATACCGAGCCCAGCTGTATGTGAGACATACCACCCCTCACATCCCCTGCCACCTGTCACCAGCGAACCACAAAGATCGTGATATTTCCACAGGCACCTCCACCTCACAAGGGTGCATGTGATACTCTGGTGCCAGCGCATCCATGTCGACTGATGCTCACAAGCCAACATCTCTGAACCATCACAACGGAACCCACATGGTGCTTCAAACAAGGGATGTTTCGGCAAATGTTTGTTACCACTACTTTGCGTAGCACTGACCTAGTTGCTTTGTCACCATGCAAACAGAGTCCCCGCTGCGCAGGTGTTCGCGAACAGGCTGCCACTTTCAGTTTTCGCCTTCTCTTTGCCATTTGCCAATGGCACCATCAGCATGCTGGAGGTTCAGAAATGCCACGTGCGATGTGTGCTCAGTTGCTGCTTGCGTGGAATGTGACTCACATCTCATCACACCCTAGATAAAACACCTCTGGCATCGCCAGGTGTCACAAACCAATCTTTCCCGCCATCAATGACACGAGGCGCGTCACAAAATTCCGCCTCTCTCCACCAGGATTCTGGGGTTGGTTACCACACGTGGCAATCACGGTTATCCACCAACTTCAACATCGTCTCAGAATTTGCCACAGCGGCGCCACGATAGCAGGAACGCCTTCAGTCATCCAGTCAATCTCCACCTGTCATTTCATCTCCATCAGCAACCCGTGCATCAGTCAGAGCACCCTTACCAGGCGAAGCAACAGATGCCCGACATAAAAGGCGATGCGATCATTTCACTCTCAACCACGGTTCTCAAACTCCCATATTCCCATACCTCGCTCATTTTCCTGAGCAATCAAGCAGACGACATGGCTGCTCTCACCTCCTCCGCTGTTGTGGCGCCTGCTGCCTTCCAGGCGGCCGTGCAGTCCTCCGCCGCCTCCTCCAAGGCGGTGTCCTTCTCCGGCCTCAAGGCTGGCGTCGCTAAGACTAGCGAGTTCGCCGCCAAGACCGTCTCCAACAGCAGCCGCGTCTCTTGCATGAAGGTGAGCTGCGGCTGACGTCTGCTTCCTGCATTGCCAGGCGACATTGTTACCGGCTCGGTCAATTTGCGTTCTCTACTGTCTAGTTTACGGGCCTGATACAAATATCCGTCGAACGGGCACATGGCGGTAGTTGCTGGTACTCCCGTTGCCGGGGTATGCTCAAAGACCGAACGGTTGATTCCATCGGGCGCGTTTCACGCATTCTCACGTGAATTCGGCCACATTCTTCCACTCGCGCACCCCGTATCATCTTCCGCCCTCAGCAGCGTCGATCCCAATCGCCGGAACCCTGCGTTAATAACCCTGCGTCTTAACTAATTACCCTTTCCCTTCCTCGTTGTCACTTCCATTAATTCAGGTCTGGAGCCCGATCAACAACCCCAGGTTCGAGACTCTCTCCTACCTGCCCGCGCTCTCCGAGGACATGATCGCGAAGCAGATCCGCTACATGCTCAAGAACGGCTGGGTTCCCTGCCTGGAGTTCGACGCCAGCGGCGTCGTGTACAGGGAGAACAACAGCGGCCCCGGCTACTATGACGGCCGTTACTGGACGATGTGGAAGCTTCCCCTCTTCGGCTGCAGCGACGCGTCGCAGGTGCTCCGTGAGCTGGCCGAGTGCAAGGCGAGCTACCCCGGCTGCTACATCCGCGTTCTGGGCTTTGACAATGTGCAGCAGGTGCAGTGCATGAGCTTCATCGCGCACAAGCCATAAAGGAACTAGTTGCTGTGTTAGGCTAGACCGTTCTTTAAATAAAACAAACATTTTTTCCTGATCCTGACTCTTTCACGGGAATGAAAACCGACAATGTGGGTGGCCCATGAGTGTTTTGACCCTCCAGCGACCTACCCAGGCTATACCGTTCTTTAAATAAAATAAAACAAACCATTTTTCCTGATCCTGACTCTTTCACGGGAATGAAAACCGACAATGTGGGTGGCCCATGAGTGTTTTGACCTCCAGCGACCTCCGGGGGTTGATACAAGCAGTGTCTCCACTTACTGGTGACATCTAGTGACCAAAGGACGGCTGGAGATTCATCACTACACCCACACAATCAGCTGCCTGCCAGGGCCTTCGCCCAGCTTGAGTACCTGCAAGTGAAGAAATAGTAATAAATAATCAAGTGAATCCAGGTGCTTGGATTACAGCCAGCTCATGTAACAGATCCAGACTCATTTTCCAGGTCACAACAGCAGATTCTCGAAACAGTATTGGTTCAAAGGATAGTTTATGAAGAGAGCGTTGGCAAACGCCCAGGTTGGTAGGAACAGAAATGGAGGTCATCTTGTTACGGTAGTTCTAAACCTCAGTGTTGTCCGTGGGGAGATATGGGGGAAGAGCGGTGGGGGAGAGGGGGGAATGCTGTAGAGAGAGAGAAACAGGAAGCGGGTGGAGCCAGTTGGGACAGTGGTACTGGTGGGGAGGTATGGAGCGAGAGTGGCAAGGTTGCAGTGCGGAGGCAGTGGCGGATTTCGGATCCGTTACAAGGCTGATGCGTATGCAAAGAGAACCATGCTGTATTTGTGCAGAAAACAGTAGGCTCGTATAAGAGCTTGGGTACAGAAACAGTTTTGAGTTGCCGTTCACATTGCTTTACAATTAGCCTACAACATGCTGGAATCCGGAATACCGGCATCGTACATTTTATGTGTAAGCCTCGGTACAGAAAACAATTCCGAGTAGCAGTGATAATTTCTTTCCAATAAAGAATGCTGCTGGAATCAGGTTCCGTATTACCAGCTTCTTACATTTGACCAGGTACCAGCTACTCTACCAGCTTCTTACATTTGATCAGGTACCAACTACTCTACCTATTTCTAGAATGAGCCACGAATTGCAGCCTCGGCATGCCGGATAACCTTTTGAATTCGAGCCAGCTCAGACTCAGGTTCTGCCCTCAACAGACCCTGCATTCCTGGCTGTGAAAGGGCCGCTGCATGCTCCTGCAGCCGCCTCGCTCGCGCCAGGGCTGTGGGAGAAATGGTGGGGGCGAGAACTGAAGCTGGGAGGTTGACAACATTACACCCGGGTAAGTTGCTCCGTGCAGTGCTGGATGCCTGCGAGCTGAGGGGCCGTGTTGGGACTTGCATGGCAAGTGAGGAACCGAGGGGGAGAGAGAGCTGTGCTCCTTGCATGTGCCGATTGCTGCTGACAGTTGTGGCGGACAGGGATGAGACTAGTGAAGTGGTGGAAGCAGGAGACTGGCTGCTGCTGGTGCTGCCAGGAGAAATGAGTCCGAGCAGTGCTGGGTGGGTTCTGTGCTGCCTCTTCTTCCTGGCAGCAATCAAACTCTCGATGTCAAGAGACGGGAGATTGGGAACATCGCATGCCGCGGCCACCGCCGCAGCGGGCACAGTGTAGGTAGCAGCAGTGGGAGCAGGAGGAGAAGCAGGAGCAGCTGGAGAAATAACAGCAGAGGTAGCAGCAGCAGTTGCACCAGCAGTAGCAGCAGAAGTTGCACCAGACGGAGGTGCAGCAGCATCCACAGGTTGGCGCCTGCGCTTCTTACTTAGGGATATACCAGTTACTGCTGGCACTGCTATGGGTGTCAATACCCACGACTCCGCAGCAGATGCAGGCGACCCATCAGCACGTGCACCTTCTTCCCTGCCTGAGTGTGACGACGACTGGTGCAAAGACAGCGACAGCGATGGGGAACTCACATCCCCCCTGCCATCCAAGGCAGGTGCCGCACTGGGCCTAGTGGCTTCCTTTGAATGCGTTGCCACGGGGGAGTGCTTGCTCCCAGCGACACCACCAGCACATGACTGTTGAGTTGGCTCAAGAGTCAACTGCGCTGCCTTGAGGGAAGAGTTGCGGCTTACACCGCCAAGAGCCGACCCGCTTCTGCTTCTCAGGCAGGATCGGTGCGAGGGGAAGGAAGAGCCTTTGGAGGGGCTTCTCATGGGGGTTGTGAAGGCGAGAGGGAGCTTGCAGGGAGGGAGGGAGGGGCGAGGGGTGGAGATTGGGAGTACTCTCGTGGATTCCTGCACTGCTGCTGCTGCTGCTAGCGCTGCTCGTGCTGATGCTGCTGCTGCTGACGATGATGATGGTGACAATGCCACTGATGATGCTGCTGCAGCTGCGGCGGTGGCAGCTGCTGTTGCTGATGACGGTGGTGATGTTGACGATGCTGCTGCTGCTGCTCCTGCTGATGGTGATGCTCCCATTCTTGTTGTGGGAGTTGCCGAGCTACGAGCTGACAACGCCGGGAGAAGTCTTTTGGGAGCAGGGGCAGGGTATACAGCGGGAGCAGCGAATGCCGCCTGGAGGCCGATGGGCGCAGCTGCTGCTTGAAGCGCAACGTTCCCACTTGACTTCCGAGCAGCTGGCAAAGATGTTGCCGCAGCGACAGGAGTGGAGGAGAGGCACTGGGCGGCAGGAGGCAGCAGAGAGGTAGCAGAGACATCTGGCGAGACGAGTCCATGGGAGGAAGTGATCTTAGCAGAAGGCGGAGTTTTATCAGAAGGCGTTCTTTTAGCAGACGTTCTCTTAGAAGATGTTCGGATAGCAGGCGCTCTCTTAGTATGCGTTCTACTGGGAGTTGGAGTCGGTTTGGAGGCAGGTTGCTGCGTGCGAGCAGATGTGTCAGCAGCAGGAAGGGTGGTGAGGGAGAGGGCAAGAGAGAGGTGAGGCTCGGCGGTCTCTGGAGTGAACGGGGCTGGCGGGGGTGAGGTAGAGCTGGATAGTGAGTGGGGAGTATTGGCGGTAGGTGTGGATGGGATTGAGAGGGAAAGAAAAGGGAGGGAAGCTGGTGGTGGGGAGGAAAGAGGGCTACTTTCTTTGATATTTGACCGAGCTTTGGAGAAATGAATCAGGAAATCCATGGGCTCGGTTGGATGCGGTGCTGATGAGCGTTGAGGCGCGGAAGGGGTGAGACCCAAATCAAGGTGCGGCGACGCACTCCCAGGCCATTTTAAGGACAGCTCCGCAAGTAGCTCAGCGCAAGGCTCGGTGCAAGGCTCGGCACAAGCCTGCACATTCATCCAGTTGCGGCTGCTGCTGCCTGGAATCGTCTCGCGTTCGAATTCCATACTCTGGCTTGCGCCTTCGCTCATGCACTTCCTCGGACTCATGCCGCAACCAGCGCTGCCGCTGCTATTCCCAGAAGCTTCCCCTTCCTCAGAAACCCATGCCGGTTCCGAAACACTCCTCCGAGCGAGTCTTGAGAGAGAAACAGGAGCAGCAGGAGCACGGCTTTCACGGCATTCACGGAGAATCATGATGTCAGCGTTGTACCCAGGTATGAGAGCAGCAGGCCGGACCGCGTTCTCCTGCGCCATGGCTATTCAGCCAGTAGTACCAGTAACAACGGATTTCAAAGAAACCGTTGAGCGGTAATAGCTCTTAGAAAGACGAGCTGAACGTTAGTAGTAGTAGTAGTGGCATGAGTAGTGAAGACAATTAGTAGCGTATCGAGCAACGCAACTGAAGCGTTTTTGGCTCCTGAGAGATGGGGGATGATGTGTGCCTTGGCTGGCAGAGGCCTGTCCAGTACTAACGGCTCCCGGTGCTACTAACAGCATCCGGAATGCTTGCTCCCAGAATGCTCGTTTCCATGTTTTTAGCCGAATCAACAGCTATACAATCAGCTTCCGCCGCGTTTTCTGCTCCTGCTACTGTCGCTTCTGCCCCGTGGCTCCAGGTCACAAGCAAGGTGCCAGGTCAAGTCCTACTGTCTCGTCAAAGCATGCTACTAATGCCTCGCGTTGGGCCCACACGGAATCCAATCACCTCGTTTATAGATCCTTGCTGCCAGTATGCTATTCCAGCTGGAGCAAGGAGGTGCCAGATTGGTACAGTACACGGAATTATGGTCAATGGTAAGTGTCCTGGTAGAATCATTTGGACACGAGACAGGCTGCAATAAACTTTTCAACTTGGATAGCGATCTGAAGAAGGAAAGAAACGGGCTGAAGCTGCATATAAGATTTCATTTGAGAGCTGCAAGGCTGCTTGATCTGAGCTGGGCGAAAGGCTGGCATTGGCTGTGGAATTCCGTTCCAGATGGTAATGAGGTGGATTCCGTCAAAGTGAGACGCATTCTGTCAAACTGAGAAACGGAAACTCCAAACTGTTCACTCTGGAAGGGCGCTGTGCACTTGCACAGTTTCACGCCTGATGCAACCGTCGGGTTGCGCATTCAATAAGCAGAACAAGGAACGAATGGTTGACAACCGACCGTCACAGTCTCGAGACGATCCTGAGCGTCCATTTCTTATCGTTCTGGGGTGCGCTGGAGCAGCACCAGAATTGGTTCTGGCAGGTGGAGGCCGAAGCGGTTACCCCACCGAATTTCAGCCACCCCAGCGATTCTGCCGAGGCAGGCGCAGCTGTACAGAACACCAAAGCCACTTGTACAAATAGCCTGGACCATTCCGTGACCGCGCATTGCGGCGGTCTGCTGTCCTTGGAGATTTGAGTTACATCCCACCTCAGAAACAAAGCGATGAGCCGTCAAATTTCGCCAACGAAATAATGACACGCGCACTCGCTGGTGGTCAGACAAGATCCAAAGCCATCCCTGTCTCAAACAGGTTCCATCGAAGGTGGAGGACGAGAACCCACACGCAATTCTCCAAAGATGAGAATCTAACACTGCCAACCAAAACACCGAGGTGCAAGCTGGAACTGGCAGCAATAGCTGGTAACCACCAGATGTACAGCTCCTCCTGAGGTAGCCGTGGGTGATTGCCTTTGGGCGAAAATTGTTTCACAGCTGTTTGCAACCCAGCGGTGCAATCTCTAGGTTCGTCGTGGACTGTCTGCCGTGTGTACACGCTGTGGACAGCTGCTAAACGCGTACAGCTGATTTATGGCGGGTCCCAACCAAACGTACGTCTGAATGCGGTTCAATTAGGCCTGGTACTTTCCGGAGAGGTCTATTCAATATTTAGAATGGTGGCCTGGGTATCTTTACAAACCCGATATTCTGTATCGGAGGACAAAATTTCTAGGTGGAAAGGACGTAGGGACACTAGTGGGGGGTCTCACGGCATACGCGTTAACCGGTGCTTTCTGCAGTATGAACTGGAGTCTTCAGAGGTACAGAATGTAGAATACTTCACAAACAATGTCAACATTCATTTACATCATTAGGTCAGCGTTTTATTGTTCCGAGTTCTGTAGCCGTCGGATCGTCATCCCACACGAATCTTGACCGACAAATACACCAGGCAGGCAGCACAAGCTGTGGTCTCTGAATGAAGCACTGCTGCCATCATCTTGGGAACTCCTGACGGTGGAAAACGAGCCGAATCTTGACGGGGACTGATTTTTGCCACACCATTCTCCAACCACGGTGTGCCTCCAAGAATTGGCTCCGAGAATGCTGGGTCCCAGTCAGCACCATTCACACGCAAACGTCAGGGCAGTTTTCAAAACTCAAACCGTTCTTGGGACTGTCGGCGGATTATTCGTAATGTCAAAATCTACTCTGAACACGCTATTGTACCGGCCAACATCCTCCCGTGTTTACGACTCAGAAATACAATCTTGGCTTCTAACATTTTGGGTAATACCAACTGAGCTCGTAGCCTTTTCTTGAAGTGCCACTTCGCACCTCACATATTCTAGTCGGCTCTGCTCTTTCGACCGTGATTGTAGTCGTGTGGATTTACCATTAGAAACTCACCAAGCGGACTCAGTTGCTCACTCCCAGGTGGCTGCTAGAGAATGTAGCGACATCCCACAATACAGCTTTTCATCGCGTCTCCATAATATAGCTACCATAATGAGATCTATCGTTCTTTCTCGAAGCCGTCATGCCCAAGAGTCGTTAGGTCCTCCCGTGCGGAGCTACGTTTCACATCTATCGAGACTGATCACTCCTAAAGACGCAGCAAGCCACTCGATCTCGTCACAAGCAGTCGGTAAGCACCTGATCAGAGCGCCGCAGCCGTCGATTCTACCCCCTCGATCGCATCCCCTGCCTTCCCGGTGCATACACCATGTTCAAGGAGCATCGCAACCATCCGTTGCCTCCTCCGGCCAGATCCGGTTACTCCGATCCTTCTACTCTCAGGTTGTTTCTCGATCCGCATCTCCACCATCTTCCTCCAGTACCAGTGCCACCGTTATCGCGGCAAGGTTGACGCTTTCCCGTCAGATCTCGCGAGAATCCAGCCGTCTGTTTGAGCAATCAGCAGCTGTCAGGCTCCTGCGATCCGGCAACCTCGCGGCTCGAGAAGTGGCAAAAGGAGCGGCTCGAGAAGCCAGGGAGAAATGGAGCCACTTGCTGCAAGGCGCGGCGGATCGGTGCCGTCCTCCGGTCTTTTTTTTCCCGCCTCTCGCGCGAACCTTCGGCGCCGCGAGCCTCGCGGCGTCCAAGTCGCAGATCGCGCCGCGGCTAGTGGCGATTATTCTCGGGGAAGCAGCGCTTCGGCGGACCACGGGTTCGGGTAGAGACGGGTTAGCGCACGCTGAGCAGATGTTTGGCGCAGCGCAGCTCAAGTCGCAAGTGCAGGCGCAGCACCACACCAACCTCTTTATAGACTTCCTCCTTGAAACGCAAGAAGCGATTCGTCTGGCTCTTAGAGCCGTGTACCTGATGTTTCTTTTCCTGCCCGCGATCGTGACCGGCCCGTTTGCCGACATGGCTGGGGGGCGGTTCCGACAGCAGTGGCTAGAGCTGGTACATAAGACGCTAGAAAGCGCGGGAGCGGCGTTCATAAAGTGGGGTCAGTGGGCGGCGACGCGGCCCGACTTATTTCCTAAAGACATGTGCGCCCAGCTGTCGAAGCTGCACACGAAGGCGCCGGCGCATCCGTTCAAGACGACGCAGCGTATTGTGGAGCGCGCGTTTGGACGGCGGTTGGAGGAGATGTTTGATGAGTTCGACGAGGAACCCGTGGCGTCGGGGAGCATTGCGCAGGTACGCTCATGTGCTCCAACATCTTAGGAGGTGTAAGATGTGTTTGATGAGTTCGACGAGGAACCCGTGGCGTCGGGGAGCATTGCGCAGGTGTGTTTTGTGCTTTGCAGAAAGTTTTTCACAAGCTGGGGTCTTATCCCTTTATGCTGTCCCTCACCCAGTAAACCTGATCCCCACTCCTTCCACCCCGCTCCCCCCACCTCCACCCGCTCCCCTTCCCCCATCCCCCTCCTGGTTGCGCAGGTGCACCGGGCGGTGCTGACGAGCCGCTATCCGCGCGCGGAGCCGAAGATGGTGGAGCCGCCGCGCATGGTGGCGGTGAAGGTGCGCCACCCGGGCGTGCGCGAGGTGATCCACCGCGACTTCGTCATCATGAACTGGGTCGCGCGCGCCACGAGCCTCGTGCCGGGCCTGCAGTGGCTGCGCCTCGAGGACAGCGTGCAGCAGTTCGCAGTCTTCATGATGGCGCAGGTGAGGGCAGGAGGGTTCGGGGTTCGGGGTATGGTTGGGGGGACTGATTCACTACCAGCCTCGTGCCGGTTTTGCTGTGGCTGCGCCTCGAGTACAGCATGCAGCAATTCGCGGTCTTGATAATGGCGCAGGTAAGGGCGTGGGGAATGGGAGATACGGGGTTTTGGTTTAGCCGAGGGTTTTGGGGTATGGTGTTGGGGGGACATTGGTCTGGGGCAGCTTCTCAGAGTCCCTAGAAGCACGCTATGCAAGCTACATTCGTAAGTGCCCATCCCTGGTTCCCCTTTCCCCTTTGTGCAGGTTGACTTGGGTCGAGAGGCTGCCCAGCTGAGTCGATTCAACTACTATTTTTGCCGCTGGCGCAGCATCAGCTTTCCCAAGGAAACATGGAGACTTCGAAATTGAGTCAGAATCTACCTGGAATCTTATATGTTATCTCCTGCCTATCCCTTGTTCCTCTCTCTCCTCTCCCTCAGGTGGATCTGGCCCGTGAGGCGGCCCAGCTGAGTCGATTCAACTACAATTTCCGCCGATGGCGCAGCATCAGCTTTCCCAAGCCGCTTTACCCGCTCGTGCACCCCGAGGTGCTCGTGGAAACGTTCGAGTCCGGGCAGAGCGTGTCTCGGTACGTGGATCGGACCGAACCTGGCGGCGTGGTTGGGCCGGAGGGCAAGGGAGCGTGGCTCGCCGCCGAAGCTGAGAAAGCTGCAGCTGATGCTGCCGCCGCTGCTGCTGCTGCAGGAGTGGCAGGGGGGAGAGTAGGGGGAAGCAATTCGGAGAGTGGGGTTGATGACAAGAGAATAGCAGCAGCCAGCGCAAAGGAAGGCAGGCTGGAGGGCGGGGAGGGCGTTATAGGAGAAAGGGAAGGGGGAGGGGCAGAGAACGTTGATGATGATCCCAAGGCAAAGAAGAAGCGGCGGTGGTTGGTGCGAGGGCGGCCGTTCAAGCAGTGGTGGGAGAAGCGAGCGGGGAACAAACTCAACATGGAGCTAGCAGAACTCGGGTCACACACGCTCCTCAAAATGCTCCTGGTAGACAACTTCATCCACGCGGATCTACACCCAGGGAACATCCTCGTGCGGATGCAGCGCGGGCATTTGCCGTCCGCGCCGGAGGAAGGGGTGGGGCTGTCGTTGAGTTCCCACCCGCATATTGTGTTGCTGGATGTGGGTATGACTGCGGAGTTAGAGCCAAGGTTCCGAGCCAACATGCTGGAGTTTTTCAAGGCGATCGCCATGAGAGATGGCCGCCAGGCCGCGGCCTGTACCTTGAAGTTTGCGGATAAACAGAGCTGCGCTGATCCTGATGCATTCATTCAGGTACGGAGGCAGCTGGGAGGGTTGGGAACGGTGGTGTAGGGTAGAAGTCCTTATCAGGTAAGTAGGAAGATAGTTCCCACCCGCACATCGTGCTGCTGGTTGTGGGCATGACTGCGGTGTTGGAGCCAAGGTTTCGGGCTAATATGCTGGAGTTCTTCAAGGCGATTGCTGTGAGAGATGGCCGGCAGGCGGCAGCATGCACGCTGAAATTCGCGGATAAGTAGAGCTGTTCTGACCCGGACACGTTCATCCAGGTACGCCCAAATTTGATGAAGAAGAAGAAAAGAAGAAAAAACAGACCAAATCAGTGAGTTTGTTACCAATGCCATCTACTCCCCGACTCCCTGACGCCTTCTGCTCCCCATGGCACGCATCAGGACACGGACAACCGGTTATGGAGTGGGATGCGTTGGGCTGAATTGAAGCCTCTAGCACCAGTTTCACGAGTCACCCAGTGTTACCCCACTCCCGTTGCCCTGCCCTGCCCACTCTCCACGCCTCGCTACGCACCGCACCTTCCCCCACGGCACACATCAGGATGTGGACAACTGGTTCAAGGAGTGGGATGCCTCTGGCCTTCTCTCCGCCTCTGAAGCCCAGCTCACCAAAACCATCTCTCCACTGCCCCGATCCACTCTTTATCCCCTCCCCACACCTCGTCCGATCCCCACACCTCGTCCGATCCCCACACCTCGTCCGATCCCCACACCTCGCCCGATCCCCACACCTCGCCCAACCCCACCACCTCGCCTCTCACCAGGATGTGGACAACTCGTTCAAGGAGTGGGATGCCACTGCCTTTTCACCACCTCTGAAGCGCAACTCATGAAAACTAACTCACCACTGCCCCAACCCACTCCCTACACCTCACCTCATGCCCCGTCATAACCATCAGGATGTGGACAACTCGTTTAAGGAGTGGGATGCCACTGGCCTGCGCATCCCAACGGGTGACTGCATGCAAGACCTGCTGGAACATGTGGGTAACTTGAATCTTGCCCTCATTTCTTAGTGCTGGTAGTTGCCCTTGTTCATGTGCGCTGGTAATTGCATGTTGGTTGCTGATTACTTGCAAGGTGAGTCATTCATGTTACTGGTAACTCGCCCGTTGTTTGATTCACAACATGTCATCCCCCAAAACTTGAGAATGCTTCTATTGTGTTCAACTTCTGGTGGCCATGCCTCTGTCTCTCCCTCACCACTTTTATGTTTGCCATGCCTGTTTATGTTCTATGCGTGGTCGTTTGCCATGCCTGATTGGTGTCTTTTTTTTTTTTTTTTTTTTTTTTTTTTTCCTCCCCTCCAGGTGCGAAGGCATCGAGTGAACATTGATGGAAATGTGTGTACTGTGATAATCACCACCCTCGTGCTCGAGGTACGTATGCGGGCCCATTTTGGCGTACGTCGTTCTGATTTCAAGTTTTGACATAAGAGAATGCTGATAGCATCCTCTTCCATCTAATGATTTGTTCTACCTCTCATTGTAATCATCCTTTTGTGATTGAGCAGAGCTGGCAACGGAAACTTGACCCAGACCTGAGCATTATGGACCATCTTCGTTCCCTTCTCTTCCGCTCCGATTTGGCAGAGAGCTTCAATTACACAGTAGATGCAATTATGGCGCCTTAGAGAAACTCCAAACGTACCCGGGTAGGCTGGCTATCTAGTTTTTTCGCCTCATGTATTGAAGTAGAGATGACTCTCATATTGAACATCCAAGGTGAATAGTGTCAAAGAAATGCCCTGCAAGCGATACATTTTGAAATGGCAGTAGCTTTGCTACTAAGGAGTACAGCAGCCGAGTCTCATGACCGTCTGACAGCGTTAGGACGTGGAACTTTCGACACCAGGGTCTTGATATTAGGTTGGCCGGTAAGTTATCACAGAGGCCTTCATTGATTGGCTACAGATCCATTTCCCAGTTTCCTCTTCGCCCAGTCAGTTTCTGCAAAACTGTCGGCCGTCAGTTTCGCTTCTCCACTCACCTGCCTGCTCGCCCTGCCCAATTGCACTGCCATCAGTTTCCATATCTCCTCTCGACCCTTCTGCGCCCTCGCCCTGCCCGCTCCACCTGAACGTCACCCATCTCTCCCTTCGTGTGTCTTGTTCCCTGCCGTGCTGCGTTTTCAAACCATGGCCGCCGCGAATCACGCTCGTCGGGTTTCATAGGTGTTTTTTTCAGTGGTTCTGGTTTGCCTCCACGATGTCCGTTCCGAAGGGAGGCACGCTGAGGATCCGGGAGGTGTGGGCGGATAATCTGGAGGAGGAGTTTGAGATGATTCGCGAGATTGTGGATGAGTATCCCTATGTGGCCATGGATACGGAGTTCCCAGGGGTTGTGGTCAGGCCGGTTGGGACGTTCCGCAGCAGCGCGGAGTACCATTACCAGACCTTGCGCGTGAACGTGGACATGCTAAAGCTTATTCAGTTAGGGTTGACGTTCACTAACGAGGATGGTATGCTTCCTCATTTTGGGCAGAACGAGTACTGCGTCTGGCAGTTTAATTTCCGGGAGTTCAATCTTACGGAGGACATTTACGCGCAGGACTCGATCGAGCTTCTGAAGCAGAGCGGCATCGATTTCAACATGAACCAGGAGAGAGGAATTGATTCGTTCCGTTTCGGCGAGCTTATGATTCCGTCAGGTGTTGTCCTCAACGAGAACGTGAACTGGATAACGTTCCACAGCGGCTACGATTTCGGGTACCTCCTTAAGGTGCTGACGTGTCAGAACCTTCCGAGCAATGAAGCAGATTTCTTCAACCTCCTCCGCACATACTTTCCTACCATCTACGACATTAAGTACCTCATGAAGTTCTGTGATAATCTCCATGGCGGTCTGAATCGATTGGCGGAAACCCTAGAGGTGGAGCGGATTGGTCCTCAGCATCAAGCAGGGTCGGACAGTTTGTTGACGTCAGCAGCTTTCAGGAAGTTGAGACAGGGTTTTTTCAATGGCTCAGCTGAGAAATATGCAGGAGTTTTGTATGGTCTTGGAGTTGATTGTGAGCAGTAAATAATCTCTAATCTGGTTTATCATTCTTTTCATACCAAGCGGCACGACAAGGAAACAAAGAGCAACACAAAAGGTTGTTATCTTAGGAAGCAGCACTGACCAGACACAGCGACTCGAACAATGAAGAAATTCATGTCAGATTGTTAGTGCCAGATATTAGGGCTCCTACAATTCACAGCACCTTCTCCGCTCACAATGCCTTAGCAGCACTCCTCCCGCTCATCCCTCTTTCCAGACTGAACTCTGGCAAAACATCGTCCCTCTTCTGCCGTATAAAGTGATAGAGCCACAAGAACGAACTCTTGATCTTCTTTCCAGCACCAGGCACCCCTCTGCTGCTGCTAGCTTGGCTGCTTCCTGAAGGAGTCCGACCCAACACCTCTTCTGCTGCTGATGACAGGTGGTGGCTTGTAGCATACGGCAAGAGTGTCTCTTCCGTGGAAAGCGAGACGAAGTAGACGAAGGGAACGAGCCACACCATGGGAATCATGAATCCGAGAAAGAACTCGATTGAGAAATTCGTGCGGAAGAAGTAATACTGGAACCAACCGAAGTTACTGCAGACGAACCCCACACATGAACCGATGAACTCGGGAGACCCGAGGCTGACATACGGGAATCGGCGGAGGATCAGGTAGTAGACGACGTGCGTAGCGATACCAGTAAGTATGCAGAGGATTGATGGACGGTCGAGTATCAAGACGATGACGTGGACCGCGAGCGTGGCTTTGATGTAGATGCTAAGCAGCTTCTTGGAAGTTCTAGGATGGTCTTCGATAATCTCTGCAATGTAGTAGAGGCCGGATGCGAGGGAGATGGTGAGCAAGACAAGGAAGAAGTAGGCACCCACCCAGGCTACTACTGTGGAAGCAAGCGGCGTTCTGTACATGGCTGCTTGATTACGACAAACGATTGGCTTGACTACGGTATCATAGCTTCGCTGCGAGCCGTTCGACCTGACGGGATGGCCTTTTACAGCAACACGAACCACGCGGAACCCGACCACGCGTCAATTGCTGGCGACAGCGTCCAGCCTAAAGTCGTCGTCCTAAGTTCGGAAGCTAGACAGCGGAGGCTACACGACGCTCAGCGATGGCTGCCTGATTCAAAACCTTCACCATGTTTCGAATTCGTCTATTGACAGATTCACTGACTCACGGATGGATGAATTTCATGGATTCACAGATGCAAAGTATCAAGAAACAGCTGCTCCTGTGTGGCTCACATGGATTGTCTCGACAGCAGGGCTGGAGTTCGTACAATGACCAAACGTGAAACCGTGCTACTTTTTTCTCAAACCGTGCTACAACGTTATCTAACGCACCGAAAGGCAAAACATCTCATCAAACCGCAGTGAAGTGCCGTTTTACGAAACAACCTTCGTCATAAATATGTCATGGTGACAAGCTAGAGCATTTGTGTATGGCATGTGCAAAACGTAACTCCCGAAACTGGTAACCTCTGCGATAACGTTTCGCAAAACCTCTTCAAGCACCAAAGCAATGCCAAAACCCCCGCAACATGGATTGGTCCCCCGCAGCTCTCTGCTGTGGAAACTGCTCCTGCACCCACCTCAAGAATTTTCCGCACTTGTGCACTTCTCCGCCACAGCGACGCACCCGCCGATCCCCTCCTCCCTCATGCGCTTCCCCCTTCCCCATTTCCCCTTCTACCTTCCGCTCCCCCTTCCCCTTTTGGCCTTCCCCCTTCCCCCCTCTCTCCGCTTTTTCCCCTTCCTCTCCCCACGTTCCCTTCCGCTCGCCCTCAAAGCCGCCATTGCTCCTCCACTCCTCCTTTCTCTGCCTACGACCAGCTTACCTCCCGCTCCTAACCATTAGAGCTCCTGTAGCTCGGAATTAGAGACGTCGTTAGTCTCTTTTATCGTCACGTGAGCCATCGCCATGGGTGTCTTTATGTTCATCTGCAAACAGGACGGCGGCAGCTGGTCCGCTAAGCAGGTACGCAAAGCAGCTCGTTGTTAGCCATAGGCAGTTCGTTTTCATCTGATGGATTGGTTCTCACTACTGGCGGCTCGCATCACTTCTGATTCGCCAGCGTCTCCTCGCAACTAGGAGCTGTATTATGTAGTAGACTATATTTTCGTCGTATAGTCACTACGCGAGTCTTAGTGTAGTGGGCCTCTTCTCACATTCAAGTGATTCTCTCGGGTGTATTCCCTCCACTGCCTCCATTACCTAGTCTCATCGTTCCATTTGGTACCGAAACCCTAATTCCCCCCAACTAGCCTCGCAGCCTGATAATCCCCGTTCTCTTGCCCGATCCTCGCGATTCCCGTCGTTTCGCATCGTGTGGCGTTCCCCGCAATCTCGCATCCCGTCATAAGTACGCGGCGCAGGAGGACAGCAAGGACCTGATTGCGGATGGGACTCTAGAGACGTCTTTTGAGTCGACTCGAAAGTCGTTCGATTCCGTCGTTGACCCCCCCTTCCCTTCCATTCCGCAGTACGCGGCGAAGAGGGAGGACAGCAAGGGCCTGATCGCGGATGGGATTTCGAGATGTCTCAAACGTCGCGACTCGCGTCCTCCGTCTCGCTTTATTCCGCTGTTATCCCCCCCGTAATTCCACAGTACGTGGCGAAGAAGGAGGACAGCAAGGACCTGATCGCGGATGGGACTCTAGAGACGTCTTAAAGTCGCAACCTTCGTTCCCCTGTTATTCCCCCACCATTCTGCAGTACGCCTCGAAGGAGGAGGACGACAAGGATCTCACCGCGGACGGGTCTTTCGATGCGTCTTTTGACTCGACTCAAATGTCATTCTGTCCCGCCTTTGCTCCCCCTCCCCTCCCCCACCCTCACTCTATTCCGCAGTACGCGGCCAAGGAGGAGGACAACAAGGACCTCACCGCGGA